GGGTGCAAGACATACACAAAAATAATCCAAAAACTAAGGCGGAGGCCAATGCCCCATAATGGGACCACGGAGAGGTCCCTGCCAAATAGAAAATCAGTTAGTAACCAGCAGAGTCCTTAGGGAACCTGACGTGAGGTAGCAGGTTTCTTCTTCCTGGGAGAGGAGGACCACAGAGGCGAAAGTGGGGGAAGAGGACCATCAGCTTTGGGTTGATTCCTCGAGGAGGGGCTAAGGGAAATAAAGCCGAAGTTCAGAAAGATGTTCTCCCCTTTGGGGAATGTAGAGAAAGAGTAGGATTTGCCATTGTAAGCAAATTGTAGGCGAAATGGATAGTCCCATCTATAATGGATGTCCCTTTGGATTAGAGGTGAAAACAGCGGTTTGAACGCCCTCCGTTTTTGAATAGTAGATTAAGAAATATCTGCAAAGACTTGAATCTTGTACCATCAACTTCCAAATCTGGATGTTCCCTGGTGTATTGCATTACCGCCTCCTTAGCTCTGAAAAAATTAGGTTTAACAATGACATCCTGAGGATGCCCATCTGGTTTTAGGGGGATCAGAGCTCTATGGATATTGTCTATTTCCATGTGGATTTCGTCAGTAGCTCTGCTGATTGCATAAGGGAATGGCCAACTGAAGAGATATCTTTAATCATTTCCGGAAGACCTCTAATCCGGAAATTGTACCAGAGGGTGCGGTTCTCAAGATCATCTATTTTATTATAACCTTCATCTAGGCAATCTTGAAGGTCAGAAATCCTGCTAGAATTCTGAGACACTCTGTGAACTGTATCATAAACTTTAGCTTCAATGTTCTCCAGGCAGTTTCAGATCTCCCTGAAATTCTGTTTCAGGTCAGAGGCCAATTTAGTGGTAGCTTTTTCCAATTCCCTCTGTAGTAAATCAGAAAAACGAGCGATAAGAACGGAATCCCCTGAATAATGCAGGGGCACAGATGGATAAGCAGGAGAGTTCACCGGACAATCAGGAGCAGAATAATGGCCGCTGCTTTGACTAATAAGTATGTCAGACATTTCCCTAGCAGGGAAGAAGCCTGGGAGTTATGGCCTAGTGACAGCGCTGCAGCCTGGGAAGGAGACATGCAGGGCTGACGAGGGACTCAGAGAGAGCAGAGTGATCACTCACGTGAGCCAGGGAGCAAGGGGAGCCGTCGCTCTATGTCCCAGGACTGGAGGAGGAATTTTGAGCCCTCAGTGGAAGTTGCGTGTTCCTTCTGCAGTCGAGGACATCTGGGAGCCAATGCCAGTCGTCATCTTGCTGCCCCCTCCCTTCTTCACCACGGCGACTTCCCACGGACTTTCTGGCCGGTCAGATGGGCATCGGGAGATCCCCCACCTTCTCTGCAGTGAGGCCAGGCAAGCAGTGGGGAGGAGTGGGGTCAGGAGCCGCCCCAAAGGTGCCAGGAATGTGAGGAGCGGTTATGGCTACATTCCCTCCAGATGCCCATGCATGTGCACTCCTGTTTAGTACCATTTAAAGTGGTTCTAAAGGCAGGAGTTTTTTTTACCTTAATGTTTTCTATGCATAAAGGTAAAAAAAACCCTCTGCAAGCAGCTCCCTCCCCCCGCCCCCCTTATATTTACTTGAGCCCGATCTCAATCCAGCCTTGACCTGTAGGTCATGGGACATCCAGGAAGTGACTTGCAATGGGGGCACTCAGCAGGGGGGAGTTACCAGGGGCACAGGCGGGGTCCACAAAAGTGGAGAATCGGGGCTGTTCTGTGCAAAACCTTTACACAAAGCAGGTAAATATGATGTTTGTTATTTTTAAAAAATAAAATGTGAGCCTTTAGAATCACTTTACTATACTTTTTTAAAATCCTTTTTGCATTCAATAAAAGTATAGATATTTTTAGCAATACATTCTGGATTTTATTATTGCTGTATCTCTAAAGTCCCATCTGTTCAGATTTTGATAGTTCTGTATATTAGAGACAAGGTATACTCCAAAGGCAATAGAACCTTGGGATCTTTGTTTTTACACTAGGTAGTTTTTCTATACATCTGTGCTTAAAATGCTGTCAGTTGTCATGGTTGTGAGGAAGCAACATTTAAATTTCTTAGAATTTACCTAATGATAGCTAGCTAAAGAATACAATCAAAAGGTTATACTGAATAACATTGAATTACAATATGACTTAGGTAATAAGTATATACGTATGTTGCATTATTTTGTAGCTGAAATTGACTTTCCTTTAAAGTGAAGGTTTGCTTCAAATTACAATATGGCTATGCTGTGTGGCCAATTTAGATGGAAATAGAGCAAAACAGTTTTCTTTAAAATGACCTGTGATGGTGTAGGCATTGGAAGCATTGCCCAAGGATTGTTTATCCAACAAAATCCAAAAGGTCAAAAACAAACAGGTACAGCTGGTTATTGTGCAATGCTCCACAAAGCCATTTACTGAGAAATAGAAATCCTCGGGTTAGCATGAACACATGAGAGATCACTAAATTCATATATAACGGCGTGAGAGGCCATTTGTAAGAAACACAGAAACCAGATTTACAAAGCCTGTATTTACTTGTCTAAGCTTGATCCCGTTTACACCAATTTTATATGTAGGTAAATATTAACCACTAAACTCCAGGCAAATAGCTAAATTACACAAATGAATACATACTACATGTGAGAGCTGTTCCATCTGCCAAAAGATTTATATTCCTGTCCATTCAATCCTTAGATTTACACAGCTCTGCCACACAGTCCATCTAGTAGATGAGGGGACCTGATTTTTTTCTACTGTAGTTTCACTTTTCCCTTACAGGTGCCCTCCTCACCTTACCCTGTGACTGGACAGTGAAAAGTGGAGTAGCAAACTAAGGAGTGCATTTCTCTATCACTCTGTTCTCTTCTATCAGCCCACCTGAATGGCTCCTTGTGCTACATTTCTTTCCACTGTGTGAGCCCTCCTGCACAGGGACTGCAAGTCAATTTCAGATATTTACACTGCTCGTTATACTTACCTGTTCTGTGCAATGGTTTTGAGTAGCCCCATCTTTTCTCTTCTCGTGTCCCCATTTGTGCTTCTCCCCTCCACTGAGTGCCCCCATAGCAAACCACTTGGAGGTACTTATGTGTGGTGTGCTCACTCCCAAGCTGACTCTGTTTGTCTGAACCAATAGGCAGACAGAGAGCTGCTGCTCTTGCACACATCGTTGGATTGGGTTCAGGGAAGTATAAGGGGGCCAGAGATTCATTCAGAAGGTTTTTTACTTTAATGCATTAAGATAAAAAAAAAAACGTTTGCCTTTAGAACTAATGGTTCTAATGGTTTTGCACAAAGCAGCCCAGATCCTCCTCTTCTCAGGTCCCCAGCTGGCGATCCTGGCTCCTTTCCCACTGCCGAGTGCCTTCATAGAAAGCCATTTGCTATGGGGACACTCAAGTGCGCTCACTCCCAAGTTGGCTCTGTGTGTCCATAAGACATACAGAGTATGGCTTGGCCCCACCCCCGTCCCCTCCTCACTGGCTGTGATTGACAGCAGTGGGAGCAAATAGCTCCAGCTGTTGTGCTTTAGACAACGAGAAGAGGGAGAGCTGAGAGGGGTGCATTGTCTTGCTTGAATGTGGAAATCTGTTAGGTTTTTATTCAACCTTTTGGTTGAATGAAATAATCTGTGGGTGTATACCCAGCGTCCAGCTCAACTGCATGCATTAGGGTTGAAAGCTATTGGGAAGAGAACTAAGGCTGGGTGCTGTGATGTTTTCATAAAGCACTTTGCTGACCCCTCTCACCAGACCAGTCATGCAAACATTGCATAGAGAAGCATAGAGACCTAACGATGGCTTCAGCAAAAAAAATAAAAAAAAAGGTATTCAATTAAAACAGAAGGGTGTTTTATTTTTTTTCATAGGAATTTTGACGAGGGGTGTGTACTGCAACCCCAGCTGCCAATTAATTTGTAATTTATAGAGCTGTAAAAGAAATCATTTTGCATTTGCATTGCTCACAGCAGTTTATCTAAATTCTTGTTTTATTTTCAATTTATCATTGAAGTAATATTTGAAAAGACCTTTCATACATCAGCCTCATTGAGAGGCATTTCCAGAACAGTACTGCACCTTGCTCTCACCCCTCTCCCTTTCTCAGTACATCAATGTTATAGGGTTTGATCCTCACCTAACATTTGGAGGAGTCAAGAGATTGAGTTGTTCCTTTATCAGTTTATGTGTGTGCATAAACCACATGATTCAGTTAATAACCTTGAGACCTTTCTATTTTTCCTTTGACTCAGCAGACAAAAAATCAAATGAAAATGATCAAAAAAGAAAATCTACAGCCTCATCGTTTCCCAGGTTCAGTCAAAATATTGAACAAATCCCTAAATTAGTTGAACTATGACATGTGTGGGCACCATAGAGTAAATGTATCAATATGCTTTATACTCAGGACCAAATCAAGTGAAATCTGCTCTGCCACAGATCTCTAGGAAAAGATAATTTTACTAATATGATGTTTTATTAGTAGAGACGTGCAAGCAATAAAAAATGTTCTCTTCTGGTATTTTGTTTCATCCACTGTGAAACATCCCTATTCTGTGTTTTATGCTTTCTTAACCCTTAACCCAGAACTACTGCTACACGGCAGCAGGGCTGCGCAAAATCACATATATATATATATATATATATATATATATATATACGTGATTTTGCATTTCCAAGTAAGGGGTGCACACGCACATTCCGCCCTTCCTGCGCCGCCACAGCTGTCGATCACCTGGTCCCGGCCAGACATCCCCCGCCAGCACCCGGCGATCACCGAGGAACACTGACAGGGGAGAGGTCTGTATTTAACCACTAGCCTACAGGGCACTTATACCCCCTTCCTGCCCAGGCCAATTTCCAGCTTTCAGTGCTGTCACACTTTGAATGAAAATTGCGCGGTCATGCAATACTGTATACATATGAAATTTTTATAATTTTTTGTGACAGATAGAGCTTTATTTTGGTGGTATTTATTCACCTCTGGGTTTTTTATTTTTTCTTAAACAAACCAAAAGTCACTGAAAATTTTGAAAAAAAAAAATGTTTTTTCTTAGTTTTTGTTATAAAATTTTGTAAATAAGTGATTTTTCTCCTTCACTGATGTGCGCTAATGAGGCTGCACTGATGGGCACTGATAGGCTGCACTGATGGGCATTGACAGGCATCACTGATGGGCACTGAAAGGCAGCACTGATACATGACACTGATATATGGCACTGATAGGCAGCACTGACTGGCACTGTTAGGCGGCACTGACTGGCACTGTTAGGCGGCACTGACTGGCACTGATAGGCGGCACTGATTGGCACTGATTGGCAGCACTGATAGGTGGCACTGATTGGCATTGATAGGTGGCACTGACTGGCACTGATGGGTGACACTGAAAGGCAGCTCAGATGGGCACTGATATGCGGCATTGATGTGCACTGGTAGGCACTGATATGTGGCACTGATGTGGCACTGATGGGCACTGGCACAAGGCACTGACATAAGGCACTGATGGACACTGACAGGTGGCACTGCTGGGGCTACACTGATCATCAGGGCACACTGATCATTAGTGCCCTGATGATCAGTGTACATGCCCCCTCCGCAGAAAGCCGATTACCGGCTCTCCTCTCTCCTCAAGCTGTCAACGTGACAGCTCGAGAGGAGAGAAATGCAGATAACCAGCATTTCCCTGTTTACATGTGATCAGCTGTGATTGGACACAGCTGATCACATGACATCTTCGGCTGTTTCTGTGATCGGTGATCCGCTGTGTCCGAGGGACACAGCGCACCGCCTATCACCGCGCTGCACGCTCCCTGAGCCGCACATGCGCGGTTGAGAATGGGAGGACGTCCTCCCAGAACGAGAAAACCACCTTGCGCCCGTCATTGTGCTATATGGCGGGCGGGAGGTGGTTAAACAATACAGATCTCTCCCCTGTCAGCACCATCATGCTGCTTTGTATTGCTCTGCATAGCTGTTCTGTATCTACCACCCCTCTCTGCCAATCCCTTCACTGGCTTCCCATTGCACAACAAAGAAAGCATTAACAATAACATATAAAGCCATTTACGGTATAATTCTGCCCCAAATTACATCATCAATCTTGTCTCCAAATATCACCCAAATCGTCCTCTCCTCTCCTCCCATGACCTCCTGTTCTCTAGCTCCCTTGTCTCCTCCTCCCATGCTCATCTCCAGGACTTCTCCAGAGCCTCTCCCATTCTCTGGAACTCCCTACCCCAATCTATCCGACTATCACCTACTCTGCCCATTTCTCTTCAGGGAAGCCTATCCCGCCTTCAGCTAATAACAGAATCTTCTATTCCTCCTATCATTTCATCCCCCACAGTTATTACCTTTTGTACCACTAGCCCCTCCCTTTTCGATTGTAAGCTCCAAGGAGCAGGGCCCTCCCAACCCTCCTGTATTGAACTGTATCATTGTTGTATTGTCTCCCTGTATATTGTAAAGCACTGAGCAAACTGTTGGGGCTATATAAATCCTATATAATAATAATAATAATAATAATTGCACTTTATATTTGTGTAATGAGTGATTTTTTCATTATTTTTATTGATGTAAACAGAGTAGAAATATATTTTGTTTTGCATGGATATATTCAGTCACAGACTGGTTTTCATGTGGTTCTGCAAACTCTTGGTTTTATAGTCTCATTTGTTAGGAAACTGGCTGAAGAGGATAGCCCAGATAGTTCAGGAATGGAACCCTGCAACAGGCTCCTCCCAGGTGTTCCTGCAAAAGTCTATGGTATACTAGTCAAGGCAGCTGTGAGCAATGCCATACCAATTAAATGGCTGAAGTGGGGAGTCTCTCTGGACAGTGTCCACTAATGTGGCTGGGGTTTAGGTGTGGCTGTGTGATCTAATGCCCTTCCTTGTCCTGCACATTGAATCTTATGTAGGAAGCTTAACCCTAGGTTCGCACCTAAGCGTTTTCCGCAGAAATGCAATACAGTCCATTTAACATGATTTCCTATGGGACATGTTCACATCTCCGTGTTTTCACCCAGTGTGTTTTTTGGAAAGGGTCAGGGACTTTTTTAAACGCAAAAAGTTGCATTTTTTGGTTCTACAGACTGCAATGGAAAAGCTGCAGAAATGCATGTAGTGCATTTTTGCTGCATTTACTTCCATGATTTTGATGTGTTTTGCGTTTTAAATCTGCCTAGCAACAAGAAAAAAATGCATTAAAAAGTGGCAAAAACGCATGTGCAAAAACGCAAAAGGAACAGCAAAACGCACTGCAGAAATGGATCAAACACAAAATGCATAGGTGTGAACCTAGCATTATATCTGGTCGCAGCTAGCTAGCCCAATCACAGATGTTCCATCAGGCAAGGTCCAACTGATCACTGGATGGTGAGAGCTACCACAATTTATATCTTCTGGGTCTTTCCAGGAGTTCAGAAAATTATTTTAGCCAAGGGGATAATGGGACCTCAGCAGATTGTTGATAATGGAGTTAAAGTGCCCTATGTCCACACCATGGGACAGCAGGTACAGGGCACTACACTACATTTCCCTATTCTGATGCAATATGAATACAATACAGTGCCATAAAATTGGCATGGCAGTTTTCACCTTGTCGCTCAACTTTTGGGTATCTTATCAACTTACTTTCAAAGATAGGGCTTTTGTTGTCATGTCATAATCACTGGTCATCAGAAAATGACTTTTCTAGCATTTTCATCCTATTCCCTTAATTTAATAAAAAAAAAACCCTTAAAGTCTGTCTTTATTGTCTAGTATCAAAAGTAAGTACTATCCGTCCCCCCATAAAAACAATACAAGGATTGGCTAGGCAAAGCAGCAGTTGTAAGACACATGTCCTATCAATTGAAGAAAAAAAAAAACAACAATGGTTATTCCTGCTAGAAATCCAGTGCTGTCTTGTATACCGTGCACTGTGCATTGTTATCTCAGTCAGTCCTTGCGCAGGATACCTATGTGAACTATAGAACCCCCCCTCCCCTCGCAATGCTATGGAGACGATGAGAGTGTTATTCTGTAGTACTGCTCCTTCATAGATACAGTACAGTGAGTAAGTGTTGTCACTCAAAGACATTTAAAAAATAAAGATAATGTAGCCACCAAATCTAAGCACTGGCATGATTTAACATATTTCAATTTTGTTCCTGGACTAAGATGCTCTTTAAGGGCCCATTCACAATATGCTGTTTTTGTGCATACCTGGTAAAGCTTGTTAAGGTACATGTTGTCATGTATTAATTTGTTAAGGCAGCCCATTCATTACCACACAAGAACAAGTAAAAAAAAAAAGGACCCCCCTGACACGATCGTGGCGTCAGACCCCAGACCTTCTCACCAAAACTCGTGACTGAAGGGCTAGCCGACCTAAAACCATGATGTGACATGCGTAACAATGCCATACCCAGTTGCACCCTGCACAACGATTTTCCAGCTATTGGATACCGATTGATATGCCAGCAGCCTGAATTGATTGTTACTGGGTCAGGTTAATTACGCAATTAACCCCTTCACACTGCTACCACCTCCTTTTTAATCAGAGAAAGAGGAAACTCGGTGTCCCGCTATAACACTATAATGGTTGATATAATCAACTGCATAACCCGGTCATAATACAGGCCTGTTATACAGAGGGTTAACACAAACAGTAGTGTCTCTTTAAAGGCACGGATTCGTAAATTGCAATTAAGAGCTATAGAAACAGTTCAACACTTCCAGAAAGAAAGATTTATTACTAAAAGGGTCAAACAGGTGCCATAAAAATGTTTACAGAGAAGATATAACCAAGATATATATATATATATATATATATATATATATATATATATACATAGAAAACAGCACAGCAAAGAGATAACAGGGAGAAGTTAAAGGGTTAAGTTACTTGCCATTAAGCCTTGGATGGAAACAGATCACATTTCAGAGCGAAAGGCACAGATCTCCCCAGGTGGTATATTGATGTTAAAAATGGGAGATCTCTTCAAAACTTACTCTCTTAGGCTTGACAACCTGCTTTAAAGTTTTCCAGCAGGGGGTGGTTCTGAAGTAAAAGACCAATCCCCTGTTTAGGGAGGAACCATCAGGCGGAACCCTAAACTGGAACCAACATCTTTCATAATTCATATTCTGGTCCACAACTTTCCATCTGCACCAGCGATAGTCCACCCGCGGGTATATTATTATAGAGACAAGTCTGAGGATTATTTAGATATGAATTATGAAATTATATATTGCACGGTTCACAAGTTCTATGTTTCGGCTCCCCTGATGGTCCGAGATAAGCGAGTGACCCATCAAACGCTTTGCCTGCTCATTGGCCATCTGACGAGGTGTCCCGTTTTTATGTAAGTCTCTCATATTCCAAGATATGAGACATAGGGGAAAAATTGATTTGAGAAGTGTTCATCTAATTCTGTCACCTACGCTGAGCTAGGTTTATTAGCTCAGAGTCCCTTTCAACTCTTGGGAAGGCTCAGGTATCTTTTGATGAGGTGTGAAATTACACAGGTTCTCAGGGCAGTGAGACTCCAGCTCTCTTGGGAAAGCTGGTCCTATCTCTTCCTAGGGGAGGAAGGATACAGCTTTCACAGACAGCTCGGCACCTAGCTAGAGATTCCTTGGCAGGCCAGTGACCCATAACCAGTACACACACACATCTGTCACTGTGCCTCTCAGGAAGGGAGGGGGAAGGAGAATGAGGGAATAACATGCTACTCTTAACAAAATGGCAGACTGCATCAGTCTCTGGTGCGTATGTTTGCGACACCCCCTATCCCAAATGCATGAACATGAATATACACATACTGCTATGTTTTAATTGAACAGTCTCATCTTTTTTATTTTGCCCATTCACAATACTGTACATACCCTTTCACGCTGACGAAACACAAATATGCAGCCTCACAGAACTGGGCTTTTTTCCGTGGGGGCTGCATATTTGCAAATTGGAAAATTTATTTTGGGTTGTTCTTTGGTGGTAGGTTATGGTAGTAACAAGAAACACACAGCTAAATTTAAAAAAAATATATTTTTGTTTTACTATTTTGGGCCAGTTTTCCTTTGATAGTAAAAAACTAAATCAGGAGATAATTACCATTTACCATTTACCACCAAATGAAAGCCCACTTTGTCCTGAAAAAAACAAGCTATAATCCACCTATATGTACAAAGTAGTTGTGATGATATGTATGGTTTTACTAACACGTCAAAGTTGCAAGATTGTGCTTAGGCGTTAAGATTTGTTTTACCCTTAGGCATGAAGGGGTTAATGTGAGCCCACATTAGCTGGTGAATCACAGTCTTTGTACTAAAATATGCTTTACTTTGTACAGAAATCCAAAATATACACACTTGTTTAATGACCATACAGTGTGGTGTATGTATCAAATAATACACATTTTTTGGGCCCCTGTACTCAGGATAAATAGGAGAAAATAACTTGGTGAAAGTATTTTGAACAATTTTAATCATACAATATAGGTTTGCAATAAACAAACCAAAACTGCATGTTTGCCTGTTTCTTTGCTTATACTAAAAATATTTTTCAGGGTATTATTAAAAGAAAATGACCAATGAACGTACTTTATGTGTTGTTAAAAAGGTGTGAAAAGTCATTTTGGTGTGCAAAGTAATGAAAAAGCTGTTATTGAGTAAGCTGCTGAGTGCCAAAATGTCAACATTTGGTCTGGTCACAAGTAGTTTTATTACCTTGGGACTTGCAAAAAGTTACAAATGTTCCTATCATATTCTAATCACAGATCTGTATTACATT